CCCCCCCCCCCCCCCCATAATCCCTTCCTAATTTTGGCTTTTGAGAAGTTGGGTTCTCGCTCCCTCAACCGCTCCCCAGCTGCTTTCCGTGCAGGCTGCACCACCGCTGCCACCTCCAGCAAAGCTCCCGCGCATTATTTGGGGTTGGGTTTGGGCTTTGGAGTTTAGAGGGGGTTCAGGGTGTGGGTTTAGGGGCTACCGCAGAAGAACGATTATAAACAACAAAATTCTCAACAACATCCGTCATGATGACGATGGCAGATGCTGATCGTGGCACTTCTGGTCATGAGAGTGTTGTAGTTGCTGCTGCCGTTGGCATCACCGCTGCTTTTCATGTTGGCTGCGGCGATGATGGTCCGCCGTTATGATCACCAACAAACATGCATCCTCACCTTCACCATTACCATCGACATAGCCGCATGCCTGCAATCCTCACACTCTTCATCCACATTCTCGTCACCAACATCTGAGTAGCCCTGCAACATCATCCGCCGTCTTTCATCATCAAAAGTTGTGGGGGGGGGGGGAAGCAAAAGAAGCCACAGATCCGAAAAATAAAGCCGGGCTTTGGTGAAATAGCCCCAAACATGACACCACTGAAATTGATACAACATCGTGGGGGGGATGTTCGAGACCAGGTTCTCATGAAGGTCTACTCAAGATAGTGAGGCTACTGTGTCAAGAGCCGATTGTTGGGAAAAAGGGTGGTGTGAGGCCTCAGAGCTTCGGATTCGGGGATTCGGGGTTTAGATATCCAACTTAGGCGTTGGGAGCGAGGACCAACCATCTTTTGCAACATCTTCCACCACATCTGACCCGAATGAGTAGGGCTTAGGGCTTCAAGGGTTTAGGGATGTACGTGCAAGACTTGGCGGCTTCGATTGCAGAATGCTTGACCTGAAATTTGGGTAGTTTTTTTCCACAATGGGGTCCCTGTTTAGGTCCCCAAAAAAGTACGGCACATTGACAAAAAAGGACACTACTTGTCGACAAGTACCCATAACCCTAAACCCTAAACCGGTCGCTTCAGGGTGTCTGCTTCTTTTTGACACCCACGCGTAACGGCAAGCGCCGTGCGCTGGTCTAGGCACTCCGACACCCCTTAATTGAGGAATATATGCCTTAATTCTTATTAGGGCTCCGAGTATAATTTGAGGTGTATTCCTGAATTAAGGGGTTTTGGAGTCTTTGGGCAACAGATCGCCACATTGGGCGCTATCAAGGAAGGGTGATGGACCCTACCTGCTAAGGGTTCATGATTTTAATTTCCTTATAGAGTCCGGTAAACAGGTAGGCTATTTGGGCTGTAGACAAACCCTACAGACCCTAGTGATGGCAAGTCGGGCTCGAGCCTGAAGCTCACAAGATACTAGCAATTGCGTGCTGGTCAGAAAGTGTTTTTCTTCAGGTGTACATGGCAATGACTGGTTGAACGGAACTGTCGGAATGCTGAAAATGCTCAGTTTTGGGTGAACGTGAGAATTGTCACGTGCTGGTGAGAAAGACACAGTTGCTAAGTTGCTGCGGATTTCTCTACAAGTGCATTGGAAGATTAAGCTTCCATGCGACTGGTCGTGGCACCGAAGCTATCGCCAGCTTCAATAGATGCATCTACAGCAGCTAGCGGATCACTATTCCCTCGCCGCTTGCATCGCCTGAACTGAACCTTCGTAGTCGCAAAACCCACCGAAGATATCAGAGGAGCCTAGACTAGAATAGGACTTTGGCGTAACATAGTATACTGACCACGAAGAACTCTACGGAACAATATTGGAACTTATTCCTCAGGCAAGATACTATCTTGTCCGCAACCTTACGGTATGCCGGGATAGGCCAAGGACAACATATGTATATGTGTCTATCTATACATATATATATAAGGGTATGTTTGTTTCTATTCTTTATATGTATATATATATATATTTTTATACATATATATATATATGCACAAATGCACAGATGCAGGTGATCCCCCGCAACAGTGTTGATTCTGAACCTGAGCCTTGCCCTCTAAACTGACGCTTCCAGGACAGACGTTTATTGTAGGGTTTAGGGCTGGGGACCCTTATGGTAAGCAATTTAGTAACCCCTATCCTTATAGCAACCTACCTTAGACTACCATACCTACTCTTTGCAAGGTTCTTACTACATGCTCTAACATATACGATCATGCTATGGAATTTATGGGGACCCTACAAGAAACTAGGCTTTGGTAGCTCAAGGTACGTCCTAGTCCTAAACCCTAACCCTAACACCCTAAACCCTACACCCCTAAACCCTAAGCCCTAAACCCCAAGCCCCTCTCTGGCGGAATCTTTGAAGTCAAACCTCGACTGGCAAGGACGGTCGAGAACCCCGGAGCTGCTAAAAAAACAGTGGGTTCTTGCTAAGGAACCTAACTTAAGCTACTATAGTAGCAAGCTCTAATAGATAATAAGGTTAAAATGTTCTGAGAGCTTGAATAAGATGGTTTCCTTTATTTTTGGTTATGATAACTTAAACAGCATGGCTTCCTTATCATGGTAACTTGAGTTAAGCTCCTTAGCAAGAACCCAAGACGCGCTTCTGCTTGGCAGAACTGTCTGGCTCGCTTTGGATTTCTCTGACTCGTAGTACCTGTGACTGGCGAGTTATCCTTGAGAGCCTACACACTGTCCACCGTAAGTGGGCATAGTGTAGGGGCCTTAGCAATAAGAATGCTGTTTCGGCGTGATTGTGGTATACTCTCACTCTAACATAACGGAGTAGTATCACGAATGTTGTAAGCTTCCGTTTCAATGAGCTAAACCCTAAACCCTAAACCCCTAAACCCTAAACCCCCAGTCTTGAAAAGCAAAGTCCCTAACTGCCCGAAACCCCAAGTGCTAGGGCCCTTGGGCCGAGAAGACCTGAGATTAAAGCTGCCGATATTCGGGTTTAGGGCTTAGGGTCTAGGGTTCAGGGTTTGGGGTTCAGGGTTGGGGGTCCAAGTTTTAGGGTTTAGGGTAGAATACGCGAAACCGCGCAGCCACAAGCCGGTGGAAAACTCAAGTTGGCAAAGTGCGGCCCGTCCCACTGAATCGACGGCTTTGCGCATCCTTCAGATTCACGAACTGCTCTGCCCGGGGAATCAGCCTCGGGCTTGGGCGCTGAACGGCTTCGGCGTTTAGGGTCTAGGGCTTAGGGGGCGTAAAGGCTTTGGGGTTTAAAGAGTCTGCGGCTTAAACTGCGCATGGGATAAAGGGTTTAGGGCTTACAGGATCTAAGCTTTCAAGGGGAGGGCTATTTGTGGGCTTTGTGCGCTCTTTCAGTACAGAACATTCCTCAAACGTTAAACCCCCAAACCCATAAATCCCTAACCCCTAAACCCCTGCACCCTAAACCCGACAGCCAAGATCCTGTCCCTGAACCCGTGGAAGCTTGAAGCGAAACAAGCGGCGATGGCAATTTCAGCTCCTTCTGATCGAAGATGTCGGTAACCTTAGCACGGACTCCTAAACCGTAAACCCTAAACCCTAAGCCCTAAACCGCAGGTATGGGTCCTCATCCCGAACTCGCTTACCAAGCAGAGTTCGACGTGAGGGCCCAATAATTAGAATAGGGCCCTGAAGTAGAGGCTTCATCGTGTAAGCAACAAGGAGCAAGGAACCCTAAGGAATAGCATTATACTCTGTGGTCAAGCTTCTATATTCGGGCCTGTAAAGCGAAATTTTGGGCTTTCGGGGGCGTTGCGGCTTAGGGCTTCAAGGTTTCATCCTGCAAGGATCGTAAACCGTGAACCCCTAAACCCTAAACCCTACAACCCCTAGACCCTAAGCCGCCTAAGCCCCCTTTTGCCGGTTTAGGGTTTAGGGTTTAAGGTTTAGGGTTTAAGGTTTAGGGTTTAGGGTAAACCCTACCGGTTCTCCTGCGAAGGAAGTTGCTCAGAGTAAAGCGTTTTCCTGTAGCCCAGAAGCGTAACCTTTCCAAAGAGCTATATACGAAAAGGAACCTTGAAAAGGGCTCGACATTTTCGGCTACAGGTAGAGCTTAGGGCTCATATGGGGCCACAGATCAGCGGGTATGGAAGCATTCTTTTGTGGCGCCTGCTTTCGGAGTCATAGTTTGAACACACTTGGGGTTCCAGAAAAAGGGAGATATGGTCCCTGTATTGACGACCCTACTCATACTTAGGGTCCCTTCTGATTCCGAAACTCTTACTTCTTATTCATCCTATCTATCCTTGTAGCTGCCTTAATGATGGTAATACTCGGGTACAATATACAGCATGTTTACAGTCTGGAGTATTCGTATATGGGTACACCGTAGAGACCTAAAACCCTACAACGCAGTACATGCATAGCCTGGTGTGCCAACAATTTGGCACGCCATCAACCCTAAACCCTACAATATGGTATCCATATAGTAATAGTTACCTAAACCCTGAAAGGTAATGGTAACTAGACTAACTAGACTACTCAGGCTTCATTAGGGCAGCCACAGATGGGACGAATCGCGGGTCCATGAAGCATCGAAAGGGGAAGCTGAGACGAATCTTTGGGGTTTGGGCTTGGGGGGTTTAGGATTTTGGGGCTTTTGGTTCAGGGCTTTCTAGGATTTCCAGTTCTGGGTTTCGCGTTTACCCCCGGGTTTAGGATGTTGGGTTTTGGGTTCAGGGTTCAGGATTTAGAGTTCTGGGTTTGGGGTTTTAGCCGTATATGAGGGAAAGAGAACATCTACAGGGCTAGGGTGTGGTGGCAGTGAAATGTGCCAGCCATTGCCATATGTTATACTATGTTATCTTATGCTATGCTATATGGTAATGAACTATATATATATATATATATTATATCAGTTTATATTATTCAACATTTGTTAATATTATGTATATTTGTTTTTTAGATTATATCAGCTCGGACAGGGCACTCTGGTGCCCTTCTCGCTCAAGGCTTCGATCGTTTGAACGATCCTTGGCGGTGCTTAGTTCTGGGACAGATTCTTTGTTTCGCGGGGCCTTTTCCATGCAGGTGCTTGGAATTCCTTTGAAGCCAGGCACGGGGCCCACATGGCAGGGTGTTCATGACCGATTGGGATCAGTGCAACATCGACGACATCTTGGGTGCCTGTGACCCATGTAAACTAGACACCAAGCCAGCAGAACTTCGGACACATCTTGGGCTTCGGGCACGTGTTCCTGTTCAATTGCGGCCCGAGCTCAGTAAGCCCACCGTCTTCAGATACTCGCACAAGGGACCACCCCAGCGAAGAACCAACCAGCAGAATTCGGCAGCATCGATGGAGACATAGTTGCCTTGGAACGGTACTGTCTTTTGAAAGGCAAAGAACGTCCTGGACTTATACGGGCCTTTTTGGGAAGCGGGTTCAGGAAGACTTTCGCGCGTCGGTCAAACGGAGGCCTGCGTAACTGCTTTGGCCTCCATGTCCTTAACTAAACCCTAAATCCGAAACTCTTGAGTCCGGGCGGTCGACATGAATCAGGTCTTTACTTTTTACTGTAAACAGGACACAACAAGCTGGGAATCCGGCACATCTTCTATACCTGCTTCCTGCAACGTCGACAAGGGGAACCCGCGGACACTAGACTTAAGACCTATAAGCTCTACAACCCAATCCCTCAGGGTTTGGGGCTCAGCGTTTAGGCCGTCACGATGACAAGTTCAACACGCCGACGCAAGGTTGATCTGAAACCCACAAGATGATCACTAGCAGAACCAGCTCAGCCACAACAGCACAACAAGCCACCGCAACTTGTCAAAAAGACAATAGATACAAACACCACCAACTAACTACCACGGCTACGAATGCAGTGTTGCGACTAGCGCACGTACTTCATCGTACTTCGACGCGAAATCCAAACCCTAAGCCATATGTACACACTGAAGTCAACCATCGAAACTCCACTTTTGGAGGCCTCAAAAGGCCGGTAGGACTCAGAAACCCTAAACCCTAAACCCTCAAAGGGTGGGACGAAGGCCGGTAGGACTCAGAATCCCTCTTTGCAAAAAAAAGGGACTCGTATTTGTCATTACCCCAGCTACCTTCATCCCAGCCTTGGAGCCCCTAAAAAACGGACCCTGAGTTTAGGGCCCTAAAGGCCCCAAGTAAGACCTTAAACTCCTAAGGGCCCTAAGCCCTGAGACCCTAAACCAAAGCAGCCTGAGACCCTATACCCCTAAGACCCTAAACTCAAAGACCCCAAAGGCCCTAAACCCAAACACCCTAAGACCCCAAAGGACCCTATAACCTACACCCCCTAAGACCCTAAAGGCCCTAAACTCCTTTTCCCTAAACCCTACACCCAAAGACCCTAAAGCCTGCAAACCCTAAACCCAAAGACCCTAAACCCCCGAAGTCCAAGTTACAAGCGCCAAAGCCCGCGCCGCTAAGCCGGCCCACATGGGTCCATTCGACCCAAAGAGCTGGCACGGAAATGACCTTTGTTAGGGGTTTAGGGGGTTTTAGGGTTTAGGGGGTTTAGGGTTTAGGGTTTAGGGGTTTAGGGTTGAAGGCTTAACGGTGTAGGGTTTAGGGGGGTTAAGGGTTTGGGGGGCTTATGGCTTGGGATATTTAGGGTCTTCGAGTCTTCGGCTTGGGGAGTTGAATGGCATTGGGGTGTTCATGCGAAGGTCTGAACGGTCTTCCCCATAGAGTCGGCAGAAGGCTTCCCACAGGGCTTGCAGAGAAAGCACTTTCGATTAGGGTTTCTATTTTCGCTTGGAGTTTGGTTTAGGGCTTCTCGGATAGACTCAGCTCCAATTCCTTACCCCGAAGGGGCCCTTCTCGACGCTCACTCTGAACCCTTAAGGCCAGTATTATCCTACAGCAGCCCTGATAGAAGCCCTCAAAAGGACCCCTTCGCGTCGGAGGCCTTAAGAACCGCAGATCAATAGATCCGACCAAGAGCCTGACAGATGCTACGCCGATGGGTCCAGGGAGGCACTTTGACCACAGGCAAGACCATCAACCTATGGTCAGCAGTAGCACCTCACCAGCCCTGAAGCCCTAGTGCGGGGGACATAATCAATGGAATCTGGTTTTGGCTGGTATTGGGGTATAAGGTTTAGGGTTTGGGGTTTAGTATGGAATATGGTTTTGGGCTATATCATGCTTGGGATATGTAAGGACTCCAAGGGAAAATCACCACTCATGCGCGTGAAGAGTTGCCCCTACACGACGTGAAATAGAGCATCTCCCCTCCCCACCCTAGACCCCCAAACCTTACTTGTCAGGTCACATCATTTTCAGCTTCAGGCTGGCAGGTGACGGAGAAGTGGCCTTTGACGTCATACCTTCAGTGTAGAACTTCGAGAAAAGCCTACCTCTTTAGGGTGCCTTATTATGATTTCCGTACATACCTTTTTAAGGGGTAGGTTGTTCTAACGTAGGGTATAGGAGTTCAGGTTCGTGCGGAACGGGCCTTGGGATCTGGGGTTCTGTTCGATGTTCAAAAGGCTATGGTTATGGGATGTAAAGGTCGGTCACACGGGCAAGCAGTCTTGTGCATTTGTACTCGCGGATTCTTGGTGAAAAGACCACCATATACACCAGTTCATCGGATTAGTATTGTCGCTGTATTCCTAAGTGATCCCTGATGCATCAATACTAAGATGTACCCCTAAGGTTAGAGAACTGAGAGTAGCGACTAAGGCTTCCATGTCATTGGTCTCTAGCTTTTAGTCAAGAGCAGTGGTGCAGGAGATACCCATGTACGATTGGCTGTTTAATACGGTTTTGATTCCCTAAACCTTAAACCCTGAACCGTGGCTCGGGGAACTCAGTCGATGTGCGGGGTTGAGAGTTGTCACCCCTAGCCAGGATCGGAGTGTCAGTGCAACAAAGGGGCCTTGACAAGGAGAATGAGGCTTGGGTGGTATGGGGTTTCTGGTTTAGGGTTTAGGGTTTAGGGTCATGCTATACGCTCCTGAAGGAGATGTTCGTTCGGATCGTTAAACCTCTAGATTAGGCCCTTGGATTCTCTAGGGCCCCTGAGGAGAGTCCGACATGCCTTGAACACGATAAAACTGAACAGGACCTCGACGATATTGGGCTCTGGGTTTAAGGGCTTCTATGATTTTATGATCCTGGGGCCGAAGAAACTCATCCTAAGGGGCAATCAGAGGGGTCATGGTGTGGCTCCTGAGGTTGAGTTGCTCGAGGGTGCCAGATTGCAGGACATAGGCAAAGCCGCCTTTGGTCCGCGGGAGGAAGACGTCTTGCCTGATGTGCCGATTTCATTTCGAGGGCTTGAAAGCTAACCCTTTGCCCTAAACCCAAGAACCTGAACTGCCCTGAACCCTCATTATGATTTTCAATGCTACGACCACTACCATGGCACGTCATCCTCAGCATCACCAACACAGCGACATAGTAACTCTAGCAATTTTCGAACAAAAGCGTACAACGACAAGGATGAATCAGACTTCTCTATTCCTGCACAGACGGCCCGGTGCTTACGACCAAACTCCATGAGCTGCGAACCCCTAGGGTATCGAGGTTACCCTAAACCCCAAACCGCAGTGGTTGGAGATGAGAGGCCCGAGTTTGCATGCGCGCTCGCACATGCAGGAGTGGCAGATGCTGGCCACCAACTCGCCATCCTTGTGGGATAAGCAGCTTTTCGAATGTAGGGTCTTGGGTTCAGAGCCCTAGGGATGTAGTATTTCATTGTGTCAGAATATATACTATTGTACTATGATATGATGTATAATATAGAATACTGATATGAAATCTCACACACGGCAGTATGTAATACCATGTTGCAACATAGAAATATACTATGTTATTTTGTTCAACAATATAGTGATTTTACAAAATAGTCAAATTGAAATTGCTTATATACTGTTCCAGGCATTACATCATATGATACGGTGTGGTATGATATGACATGACACGACATGATATGACCTGGTATGATCTCATAGTATACTTACCAGGTTGTGTCATATTATGCTATAAATTAACTATTTCTGTTATGTTATCGCATGCTGTATTGTGTTCTGTTCTGCTATAGTCTACTGCCTTTTGTTGTGCTATATAATGTCATATTTCCAAACATGAGATGAGGTCATACTAGATTATACTGTGCCGTCTTTGAGTATGTTGTGTTAAATTTCTAATATGACAATATACTAGATCATATTATACCATATTGTGTTGCAATGTCTTGTATGAACTATGTCATATAGATATTAGAATACTACCTTGTACTTCAACTTGTTCAAATTCATATGGTATATCCATAGATTGTATCGTATCATATGGTAATTCATCATAGTATGTTGGTATGTTCTGAAAACAAGCACTGAAGGATGGTATTGGCAACATTTGGTGGTTGTTCAAGCCCCTGTTAACTGTTGCTGTTACTGTCTTGCAATTACTCTCATTTGCATTCCTGGCACCATTGGCTCGATTCTACCTAGTCTCACCCTAAACCCTTAACCCGGGATCCCATATGCCATATCAGCAAAGCCTTAAACCCTATACCCAAGCCAAATCAGCCTATCAGTGTTATGTACCGAACCCCAAGCCCTAAACCTCTAAACCCTAAACCGCAAAACCCTAAAACCTTTTTCCCTAAAGCCTTACACCCTAAACCTCTAAACCCAACGTCTTCTGGCCTCGTCGCTGAAGCGCGAAGGCCAAATGCCGATGCGGAAGAGCGCTGGCCTAAACATCTCGCCGTGGAGCATCATCTTGAATCCTGGATTTCAGGACCTAAACCCTAAACCCTAATACCCTAAACCCTAATACCCTAAACCCTAAACCCCTAACCCTAACGAATCAGAAGGCCTAAGGTTTCCCTTAAGGGTCCCTTCAAGTTCCCTTTAACGGGTCTAAGGGTCCTATGAGGGCAGGCTTTAGAGGGCCTAAGGTTTAGGGTTGAGTGGTGCCACGACAGTGCCAAAGGACGCGAAAGTCTGCGCCCACCGTTTAGGGTTTAGGGTATAGGGTCTAGGGTTTGGGGCTTAGCATCGGTATATCTGGTTGACCGAAGCAAAACCTGCTGCGGAATGTTTGGAAGTTCGGCGGCTACTTGCATGTGAGCGTATAGGTTCAATAAGCATCCCAAACCCCAAAACCAAAAATTCCCTGAAGCTTAAAATTTCGTAAGCCTTAAGCATCATGCATCATGCATCCTCTTATGGTGACCTTGTTTCGCAGACAGCCAATCTTCCCGATTATCAACAGAAGGAACCACCCCCACCGTGTAACTCCAGTGAATTAACTCGCCGCCCTTAATTTTATTGCTTTTGTGGTGTGTATTCCTGCCGGTAGTTGCGATGCGAGAAACTACAACGGCAATCGTTCGTGCTGGAGTCTAAAAGTACACTGTCAACAAGTCTAGTTACTGCAGCCGAAATGAAGCCCTTTCACACCGTCACCTGCAAACTAACTCTTCTAAATCTAGCCCGTAGACTGCCGTAGACCTTTGGGTAGACTTTGGGTAATTAGTTTGGAACTTAACTCCACCCTACACCGTAAACCCTTTGGAACCCAAAAGGGAGGATGCAGGGTTAAGGGATTTAAGATTTATAGAGTCTAAACAACTGCGCGTCTTATTGCTGAGCGTGATAAACCCTCAACCCAAAGCCCTACCTAGACCCGAAACCCCTAAAGCCCTAAACCCAAAACTTTATAGCCATAGAATTAAAGCAGTCTCCTAACGCCAAGGCCATTCATACAGGACACGCTCCGGAATGTTTTTGATGAGGCCCACTTCCTGGCGCCACTCCCAGGGCTCAGGGGGTCTAATTTTTGGGGTTTATGGCTTAGCGTTAAGGGGTTTAGGGTTTACGATGTGGAAAATGCCATGGGTGCTCGCTGGTGTGTGTGTGCACACCCAGGCCGCTCGCACCTGTGCGTAGCACACAGCCCACCCAAAGACCACCCTGAGTTCAAACATTTGAGGGTTTAGTTCCAAAGTTTTCGAAGCTCCCAACAGGGGCTTTGGCATGGCCATATTCTTCCCCTGGCAGATGCGAAAGCAGCACTGGGTGGCTTTCTGTGAGTCTGCCCCTTTCTGGGTATGGCTTTCTGTGAGGCTGTGCTGGCGGGTTTTCATGCGGGCTTTCTGTAAGGCTGTCCTGGCGTGAGGCTATGCCGGCGGGTTCTCATGTGGGCTTTCTGTAAGGCTGTCCTGGCGGGGACCGGAAGAAGCAGCGGCTTTCTGTGAGCTGCGCTGGCGGGAAACCCGAAGAGCGGCCGGCTCCAACTCGTGAAGGGTTGGGGGCCGGCTCCAAATCGCAAAGGGTTGGGGGGTCACTTCCTTGTTGAAATCACGGCAAATACTCTCGGTCTCTCCTTTATACCACACGGTGGAGGTGCCGAGGTGCCGGCGGGCACGGTGCCAGTCGCCCGGCTTTACCTAGGCTCCGCGCACGCGTTCTCTGCGGCTCGCGAAGCTCGGCCGCTTCGGGCTCCGCGGTGGCGGTTGTCGAGCCCTCAGCGAAGACTTTAGGGTTCAGAGATTTAGGGTTCAGGGGCTTAGGGGTTTCAGGGTGTAGGGCTCAGACTGTCTAGGGTTCTTGTAAGGCTTTCCGGTTTTGTAGCGCCCTGTAGGGCAATAGGATGTGTTGAGGGTCTCGGCGCTTTGTAGGGCTTTATCTGGCTGCCGGGCTTTAGGACTTTTCAAGGCTGTAGAGTCTGGTAGGGCTATATTTATATGACAGCGTTTTACAGCATCAAAGGATGTCGCGGGCTTTTGTGAAGCCCCGGTGCATTTCAAGAGAACCTTTGAACCCCTGGGAAAGCTTGTGGGCTGAAGTCCTATACTCTGAGCTCTGTGAAGCTAGACTCGAAGCACTAATTAAGTTCTTCACCATAAATCGTGCACACCCACAAACCCAAAATAGAAAAACCATCAACCACCAAACCCAAAAAATACCACTAAACCCCCCCAAAGCCTTATGCAGCCTTAAGAGAAAAACTCCCGATCGGGCGCTGACGTGTTTTCGCTCCTCCTCTTCCAGGCGCATCTTGATGAGGCCGTCATGTTTGACCCTCGCTGGCGCTGGGTTTAGAAGTTTTGAGGGTTTAGGGTTTAATTTTTTAGGCTTAGGATTCGGCTGCAGATTCTTTGGAGAGAATTCAATAATAGAGGGGAAGGTTTGGGTTAGTTCGGGTGTCAAGACTGAACTCCAAAACTCCAAAACCTCTCTACACAGACGAGCAAAAGCACTCGGGGTCCTTGCAACTCCATTAGGAGTCAAGGGACCCCCTAAACCCTGAACCCTAAACCTTAACCCTAAACCCTGAAGCCCTAAACCCGCACACCAAACTGCGAGCAGCC